GCATAGCAAACTGTGCCTGTACAGCTGTTTTGTACAGAAAGAAAAAGAAACTAATGTGTTGTAACACATTATAAATAATAAACCAATGTGGTGCATTTGCCTAAAGGATTTTGCTGGTGTATGGGTAAAAAAAACCCTAGAAGATTATCCTATGATGTGACACAGTTGTAAATGTCCCATGGACACATGTGGAGCAGACATGGGCACTGGAGCTCTGGTCCTAGTAGCTAAATAGTGAGGAGACACTGCTGAGGTGCAGTGGTTTGAAGTTTGGTGTCTTCTCATGTTTAAACTCTAAATGTCTATTGTTACAAATCTGACAGCTCAGTCAGCTGAGCTTTTCTTATCCTCATTTAAAAGCTTTCCAGCCCAACTCCAAAGTATAAACAGAAAAAAGTACCAGTTGATTTTCATTTTTTAAAGCCCTGTATTTGTGAAAGGGGTATTCCAGTGTCCCCTCCTGTCTTTTCCCCTCCTAGACAAGTAATTTTTTCAAACAAAGGAGGAGAATCCATGATTCTGTTCCCCCTCCAAACTCTATCCCCACATAAAAAAATCAAACCCCTTTGGAAGACCTCCCCATGCTCAGAGCCCATCCCAAGCCCTGTTTTGCAGATTTCAGCAGAATGTGAGTCATTCATGGCTGATGGGCTCTTACCATGGGACTGCATTTTTGGTTTTGGCCATCAGACTGTTTTTATTGAGATGTCACTTCCACATGCCTTGCCACAGGTGCACGGGGTTCATGCTACACCCCTGTACTCTCAGGATGTGTGGCACACTGAGAGGCTGAGGTAAACCACGAGCAAGTCTGGAGGCAGCCTCTGTCACGACTTCAGCAGGGTAAGAATCCTGTCCATCATCATTCCAACAGCAGCCAATGGCTTTATGGCCTAACCAATACAGTGACAGACAATGTGCCTCCCAACAGTTTAAACATTGCCTGGCTTCTCCTCAGACTCCTGAAGGGGAAGAAGCAAATCCAGCAGCTCATAAAGTCAGATACAGCCCAGTTGCTAAGGTAACCCAGCTGATAAGAGCAGCTGATAGATAACACCAGGCGCAGGACTCAACTGCCTTCAGATTTCAGCATGCTGTGGATTAGTGAACAAGTCTCTCAGTCCTAGAGCTGCTACAGAAAAAGACATTGGGAGCTGGAAATCTCAGGGGCCTCAGTTCGGGGGTCATTACAATCCAACCAGAGAAGCAGTAGCTTGTACCTGCTCAGCAATGTATTCCCCCTCAAAAGAAATATCCAGAATTGTATTAGTGAGTTTTAAGAAATCAAAAGTGAGGTAAATAGCACCATGCCATTACCTTAATTTGGATGTTTCAAAGATTGTTTGAATGATGTTTCATTCAACCTCTATGTGATAAAGGTTAGGATGAAACCAACCCTGTTATAGCTGGATAGTCCCATAACTGCCTCTTGCACCTTGGGGAAGTACCTTTTACAAGATATCAAAGCCCTAAAATCCTTGATAACAAAACCTTCACAGTCCTAGGTTCATGGGGACTAGAATTTCCAGACTGCAGAAGGGCTAATTTAATCTTGATTTAAACTGCAATTGTGTAAAAAAAAAAAAGAAAAAAGAAAAAAGGTATCTATTTTCACCCCACGGGGAGAGATATCCTTGGAGATAGTTTGTGGGGAACCAAGATTGACTACTGAAAAAGAATAAGCCATATATAGAATTCCTGCTTGCTAGAGTCCAAGTTAGGACTTGACTACCAAAAGTGTTGCTGCTTTAAATTAACAGTTCCAGTATGGAAAATTGTCCATTACACTTCTCTGCTGAACTCCCCTTTTGAGGGGAGTTTTTAATATTTTTCATATTTTCACATGCTGTTAAGTAGATGATGCCTGAATTACATCATTTATCCCTTGCCTGGTGCATTTACAGGGGATGCAAACCTGCTTCTTGCTCATCTCAACATGGTGACCTCCAGTTCTGACAAAGTTATGCAAAAGACTTGTGCATATTGTGTTGAGAAGATAGCTAACCACAATTTTCAAAATCAACTCTAGCCAATAATGAATAATATATGTGACCTTAATGAGTAATATAAAGATACTTTATGCCTCCAGCTTTGCTAGAAAAGTGTTAAATGGCCTTAGATGAAAAGATAATAAGACCTTCAACTTGAAATCCTTTGCTGTACAAGGGAAAGTGCTTTACCAGTAAAATTAATATTTTGAAAAATGGTATTACATAAAAAGGTAGGAAAGATTAGTCAGCCAGTGAGTAGAGGTCATTGTTTTGTCTGACAGAAAGTCCAGAGCTTTATTGATCGACCTCCTGAAAAGAGAGTATTTGTGTATAGCAGCAAGCAAAAACATTATTTTCTTTCTCAGCACCAACTAATTGCATGCTGCATTTAAAACCACATTCAATCTACAAGTAAACAGATTCATGAGGCTGTTAGGTGTCTTAAGTCCAGGGAAAATTTCTATACAATATAAAACATCTGAGCTGGGAACAGAAGATGTTCTGGAGCACTGCCTAAGGTTTTAATCGGCAGCCTACCAGGCTTCCCTAGCAGCTCCTCATCACTATCTCCCCTGAAAATCACCTGCATCCAAGTGGTTAAGCCATAAGAAGTCAAGGCTCTTCTCACCAGGGTAAACAGTTGAGTACTTAGCTCTGGCACTGGACTCTTGGTAAATCTTCTCATTGCCCAACCCATCAGTCATCCTCATCAAGAAAACGGAAGTAATGCCAGTGATTTCTAAAAAGCCCCTTTGAAGAATTTATCTGCATTGATGTACATTTGCAGTTTAAGAGCCACATCTCACACCTTTCATGGTCTCTCTCTCACACTGAAGTGACAAGCATGGCTGGTCAAGCACCTCCATGTTAACTATGGCAGTAAAGGTGAGGACACTGAGATGAAAAATACATTTATGATGACATAAAAAATAAAACACTTATTGGCAAGAGCTGAGAGATGGGTGGGAAGCAGCTAGAAAGCTACTTTCTTTCTAGGGGGCCTAAGTATGCTGCCATTGAATTCAACAGCTCCAGTGAAGTTGACATCAGGCATAAAGCATGGGTTGTCAAAATGCTTGGTAGCAATCCAGTTTTTATCACCTTTAAATTAGCTGTGAGCTCTTTAGAGGGTGTCTCTACAGTTCAGGGGCCATTACAATCCAACCAGAGAAGCAGTAGCTTGTACCTGTACAGCAAATGAGGCATGAGAACTTTTACAATTAAAGGACTTGGGCACCAATGGAAGTACACTGGCCAATTTATCAGCAGCAATCAAATCAATCTAACCAAGAGCTCTGTAATTCCCCAACCCTGGGCCATAAAACACTGCCCTCGTCTGAACCAAATGCTTGAACACACTCCAGGTTTTTCTGGCATTAAATAATTCACCAGCTATTTCAGGTATGCCACCCTTGCTTGTGGGTCTCAGCCAAAACATGGATCTGCAGGAGAAAGCACCTAACTCTGCAGGTTTAGCCTTTGGAAAACATTTTTCATGGCTACACATACTTGCCAAGCAACTGTGTTAGGCCCAGATTTCCAAGGGCTTGGGCTCTGTTGCCCTGCAAACAACACAGGGATAGAAAGGACATGGGAATTTACTGGGGCTGGTGTCATTGGACCCACTGCACAACGTGCAGAAACTAAAGATTACCAACTATGTAAGAAAATTCCTAAGAGTAAAGTAAAAAAATTACACCACCACATACTCCCCATATTTTTTCCTACATTTATTTCAGACTATGGTTTATTATTAAAGAATGTTTTCCTCTGGAAAATAAAAATTAACTGCCTTGATCTCCCAAAAACACTTTCTGGGAAGGAAATCTCCAGTGATGCGACCAGTCGGGTATTTTCTCTGCCATAACTTTAAGTATATTTATTAACTTGCTGAGAATTTTGTGCGTAATAAAAATCAAAAGGAGAGAGACAAATGTCAGCCTGGCAAAAATGTCAAAGGATTAATTTCTGTAACTCATCTTTCTGTTAGTGAGAGGATCATGGTTCTTGCTGTGCTTGATCTTGACTAGATAGTAAGATATGTATCTTTGGAATTTAAAGGGGCAAATCTTAAGACAACAGAAAATCTTCCTCATTAAAACTGAAGCAGCACCACATCTGTAACAAATTTAAGGCATGTAAGGACAAAAAAGAACAAGGTGTTTGTAGCTCTGTGGACATGTGCAATACCTCACAGGAGCTGAGGATCACATCAGGTCACTGCTGACACAACTGCATGGAATCTTTCTGGGTGTGGTGTGTATTTGCATCTCTCAAAAGAAATTGGTTACTGGGGCATTCAGTGTATTTCTGAAGTGGTTGGATTCCTCTTCCCCCTCTCCCTGTTTACAGTTCCCTTTGGAGTACAAGAAACATTTTCTGTAACCTCAGCTTCCTGATTCAGTGGTTGTGATGTCAGTTATTTACGATAACAAAAGTGAGACAATGCCTGTGGTTTGTGTGGGACAAAGCCAACCTCGTTTCTGTAAAAAGGGACAGTCCTGATGTGAGAAGCCCAGGAAAGGCTATGAAGTAGGACTCTGAGGTGGTATTTCATTAGTGCTGCCAGCTTCATAATGGGCTTGACACTGCACTATTTCAAAGGCCACTGACAGAGGGTTTCTTCATTTCCACAGGATTGGACACTAATGTGAATGGACCTCTTCGAAATCCTCTCTTTGCAGAGCAAGGCTTCAGAGATAGGTATCTTGGGAAATGGATTGCTAGTGGGTGGAGAGGCAGCGAGTGTCAGGATGCAAATGTTTCAATAGCAATTACACATTCTGTGGTCACAGGCAAGTCATTCTGCACCTCTGCTTACCTGTCATGAAACTCGTGTATTAATACTGCACTGCCTAAGCCACAGATGTAGTGAAACTTGCACAATGCCAGTAAACTCTTGATGTCACAGAGTAGCAAAAGGAAAGAAGAAGCCCTTAAAACAAAGCACGGTTAGTTATGAATGAAGAGCACCAGCTTTGGTGTAGCTTGTAGAATAATGTCCCTTACCTGCTATCCTGCCGATCGGCATCGCGTGGTCCTCGGGAGGGGAGACAGACACCATGATGTGGTTCATATAAGCTAACTCTTCTCGGTGAGACAGGTTGATGGGCTTGACATCCCTGTGCAGCCCATCCTCAGACAACCTTGGTGGTTTGAAATCGGAGTGCCTGGGGTTCAGTATCAAAGGATGCATGATTGGGCTGGGCATCAGCTGGATGACCCTGGTGTTTTCCTGGCGAGGGCTGGAGGGCTTCTGGAGCACCTCGGAAGGAGGCGGGCAGTGGTTGTTTTCTATTGGGGACACTGAGAGAGGATAGGGCTCCTGCTGGTTGTTCTCATGCTGGTGCCTCGTCCCTGGCATCCTGTCGGCCGGGGACAGGCGGCGCAGGGTGCTGTCCATGGGGGACTTGAGCGGGCGCTGGTCGGGGTCTGGCGATGGACGGTGGTTGTTGGTGATGGGCGACCGCGAGCGATGCAACAGTTCAATGGTTGGGGGGTTGTGGTGGACTGCTTCTGCAGATGGCCTCGGGGTTCTCTGCACAAAGCTATCTGTGGAGGAAAAAAAAGGCCCCAAAATACAGATTGTCTATTGTGATCAAGGTGTAGGATCTACTGCTGACAGCTTGTAAATGTTTTTTATTTATGTGACCAGTAAAGATCTGCATAAATGCAGATAGTTATTAATTTCTACACAGAATGAAAACAGTGAAAACAATCTCCCTCCACCACCATGTTAAAGCAGTTCCTTGGGAAACACACTAAGAGAAATCCCATTTTGAGGAGCTGATTGAACACTTGTGACGAAAGTGTGTTTCTGCACAATTTTTTTGAAATCCTTCTCCTACCATTCATGCCTCTCTGTGTCATTGCTCTTAATATCATGATGAGCACTTTCAGGTAGAAGGGAAAGAAAAAAAGGGAAAATGTCTCCAGGAAAATACTGGGTATTAAGTTTTAGATGGTAGAGGCATAGGTCAAGGTAGAGAGTAACTCAGTTTGAAATGTGAACCGGGTTGTTTAAAAAAACCCTACTGGTAGGAAGCTCTTTATGAAACCCTATATTTGATCCCTGCCTTAATTTTAAGAGCATGTTACATCTTCATAAGGACATTTTCATCTTCTTTTATTTAGTCTGTAGTGTCTCCTGATGGAATGCCCCACATAAGCACTTACATGTCTTCAGCAGGAGGACTTCTAGCAATGCTTTTGCATGAACACACTTTCCCAGCTATGATGCTTAACAGTAGTAGGGAGATAAATCACTAACAATCCTCTCACAAAATTAAAATTTTTGCCAGTGCAGACTTTCAGGTTAGCTAAGGCCATCAATTTTGACTTGGGAAACTACTGACGAAGAGGAAAGTACCACCAGAGCTACCGTGACTAACAGGTTTTTATCAGAAAAAACAAAGATCAAATTTCAGTGGTGTTTGTTGAAAGCCTTGGGTGATAAGAGAAGGAAACTTCTGGGTACGTGTCAACAACTGAAACAAGTAGCTGCCTATTTGAGGCTGCCTGTTTGTTCACTCCATTTTCTCTGGATATGAAATTATTCTCTTGCTCTCTTGCCAAGGCAGTGATACCTGTTTGAAAACCCTGTTGAGGTGAAGACTGAAGGGCTCCTGCTGCTCTGGAAGCCAGGCAGGCATCAGAAGATGGATCAGCACAAACCCAGGGGAAGGCCTAACCAGGAAAAGCTCAAGTCCTGAGAAAATGCAGTGCCAGGCAGTGACGTAGCATCTGTAGCAGAACACTAAAGTCTACAGGAAAAGCTGGAATTTTAGGCAGAACCTACATTGCTCTAGAATACTTATTAAACACACTTGTGGTCCCAGACAAGAAAAATGCATTTGTAGGGCTGTTCAAGATGCTCACAATGGAACAGCTGGAGGACATGAAACTCCAGAGCTATATATTGTTCTTGCTTAAACCCAAACACTTTTAAATACAATCTGGCCAGCAAATGTGGGATGGCCCAAATGAAGATCAAAGAGGGAAAATTTACAACTGTACCTACTCTCTGTGGCTGCCTTTCCTTAAAGTCCCCTTTCTTTGCCACAACAGAAAGAAAATCAACTCCCAAATTTTACTCAGTGTCCTATCTTCTACAGACCATCCACCCCCATCACTGTACATTCAAATGCACTGTGCTCATTCTTGGCCTGTAAATACAGACCAGAATATTCTGTTCTTTGTCCTATTTATTTAATGCCTTGGCTGAAGGGAGCACCTATCTTTAAAGCAGAAAGGAATGCCCTGCTGTGCTTTTCACCAAGCTCTCTGGAAACATTAGCTGGCAAACTCCAAACAGAGGTGTTCCTACCTGTCTGCCTCCAAACCATGGTGATGCTGAACCTGGACAGAGAGGACAGAAAGTAGAGACCAAGGAACTCTTGGAAAAGCAGGAAGAGGAAACACCACAAATGGATACACACTCATGGTTCACTTTCCTTCAAGATCTTTTTCTTAAAGTACTTAACAAAAGAATCCCCTCATGGCCAAAGATGGTGTTTGCCATAAAACAATTCCAACTCAGCTCTAAGCAAGACTGCTACAAATGACCCTGAACAGAATAAAATCCTCATCACATTCATTCCTTGGCACATCTGGTGGTTGTAGGTTGAGCACATATGGTATATAATTTCAGGCTGCACTGCATTCACTCTGGATCTTTATCCCAAATGAGCAACATTTTTCTTGAAGACAAAGCTGTGAAAGGAAATTCACCTCCCAGGAAATTTGCTGACCTATCCATACAGGGATGGGTGGGGCTGCACTTTGGGAGTGAGCAATTGCCGGCATGAGAGTCCCAAAGATTGGCACTCTCTGCTTAGCCATGAAAGAAGTGCAGGGAATGACAGTGTAAGCTTCCTGCATGGCATCCCATCCAGTGACTCAGAGCTCTGTCAGAGGGACCACTGGAGATGAAGGTAATTCACTTTCCATTGCTCATCCCTCTGCAGGGACAGAGCCCATTCCAAGCCAATATCCTGAACTGCAGTCAATTGATTTCTAACAGCCAAACCCCCTTTGTTTAAGCCTAGTAAGAAACCACTAGAGGGAAAGCATTTAAAAGCAGGATCATAAGTATAATCCATTAGGAAACAGGCAAAAGAGCCAGAAGATGGAAAAGATCACTGCAGTAAGGAGAGATGGTAATAAAGACACATCACCTGTGAAGTTTAACCACTCAAAATGGGGCCAGGGTAAAATCTGTCCCCAGTGTCACAGTCTGTGAGTTAGCCTGGGTTAAGTTCTGCTCCTTGCATTCATTCTTCTTTTTAAAGTAAGTTGTATTTTGCTGAGGCAAAATGAAAACTCAATTGTGATAGTTTCTCCCAAGTGACTTTGTAAAACAGGAAGAAGTAATGTCAAAATAAACAAATTCACCTGCCTGTAAATTTTTGGCATAGAGATTTTTTGATTGCTCAGTCTTGTGGCAGGCAAGCTGTAGTTTCTCTTGCTTATTTTGAAGTTCCTCTAACAGAAAACCAAGAACTAATTTTTGTCATTATAAAGAGAAGTTTTAAGTAATAGCACAGAGTTCTCTGAGAAAAGCAGTGCTGCTATCAGCAGCCAGAGTATTGTAAGGAAGAAATCTAAGTTGTTTCTTAATCTAGATTGTAAAAGACATATTTTTTAAATGACACACATGAAAAACGAACTCATCATCTCTGTGAAATCCTCTCTAGTCAAAGTTGCTCCATATGTTAAAGGTAGGAGTGTCTGAGAAAGCAGCTAGTATTTCTGTTTGAAATTTAGAGTGGGAACACTCATGGGTGAAGGCCAAGCTTGAGGAAAATACAGATTTTACTAATGGTCTGAATACAGTGGGCAACTGTCTCTTGCTCAGCTCTGCCAAGTGAACCTCAGCTAACCTGGAATATTTACACAGCTGTGTGGAAACACTTTGGAGTGTCCTTCCTCCACCTGCTGCTGTCCTGCTGTTGGCTTAGTCTCAGGGTTTTGCTGGTGCCATTTGACTCTGGCCACATCAGACTGGCCACAGGCAACTTGTACAGGTCTGACAGCACCCCTGAATCTTCTCTTGCAATCCCATGTTGAATCTTGAAATAGATTCATGTCAAATAGGATAAGCACACCTTTTTTCCAATTAGCAGAGACCAGGGTGAGATTCGAACTCAAATTCCCTTCTCCTGTTTACTCAAAAAAGGAGTAACACTACTTTTTCCTAGATTTTTAAATTGAAAATTGAATTAATTTTTAATTGAAAAAAATTATTCCTGCCTTTCATGGAAACGACCTCTGAAGAAGCTTAAGTTTTATTTTTTCTATGATATACCCAAGAAATCAAGAAGTACTTCAGGATGTGTATTTTTAAAGAAATTAAAACCTCAATTTTCCAGTGAAAAGAAGCACACTTCCATTTTGCAGTAGAAGAAGCTCAAATATGCAATTCCACAAACTTAACTATTCTTTTTTCATCACCTCAGATAGTCATGGTATGTGTGCCCACTAGTAGATCTAAGCAAATAATTCTGATAGTAAAAAGGAGAGAAAACCTGCAGAAGCCCACTTCTCTCAGCAGGAATTGCTCAACCAGCCCAACAGCTGAGCCATGTGATGGGCTCAGTGCCAGGAGCTCTGGCATGATGTCCTGACAGACTGCCAGCTGAAGTGACTGGGAGCTGGATATTCCCCTCTGAGGCTGCCCTCCCTTGCTCTGCCAACAACTGCATTTAGTTGCATCTCCAGGATACTAAAAGTCCACAAAGCAACTTTGTCTACCTAACTGGGTGTGAGGAAAAATGAATCAATAGGGTCAATAAAATGCTCTGCTTTTTAATCTGTATCTGACATAGCTTTTAAAGGTGCTTTGGAAACAGAACAAAATAATAGAAGATAAATGGAGAAGGGCTTGTTGACTCACTAGACCATTTGATTGTTCCAAAGCTATGGAGTCAGAGAGAGGAGAGCAGCTTTATTTAAGTAACTTTGGAACAAGAAAATTATATAATTCCTATTTGCCTCTGTAAAAGGCAGCTCCTGTAAGAATGAGACAGAGTTACCTTCATCATGATTCTGGTGCAATATGACCTCTGGCTGAGCATGGATAGAGTTCCCAGGGTGGAAGAAGGGTGTGAAGAGCATACGAGCTTTCCTTTGCTTCAGGATTTGCTGAAGGAGTTCATACAAAACATCACCTGAAAGACAAACAGCAGGAAAAAGGAAATGAAAATGTAAATAACTGATGAGAAGACTCATTTAGCCATCTGATGCATGAATTCATGGCTCCTGGGTGCTATTTTCAGACCCAAAAATGCTAGCAGTAAAATCCTGCATTTCACTGCTATGCAAAGTCCTCCTCTGAAAGGAAGAAAAGGCACATCACACCTCTGAGTGTGACTGTGGCAAAACAGAACGACATTCCCTGGCACCATCATTGTTGTATCTTTCCTTAGTGGAACATAACACCACAATATCCAGGAGACCAGTGGACTAACTGCTTATTTTCTGCCTTTTATAAATTTCATCTTGTATGGATGACCTTATTCCAACACCTACACCTAATACATAAGGTACTTGTGCATTTGGTCTGGTGTAACTGGCTGTGCATTTCAAAGTGAAATTGCACATCACAGGATAGGAAATCTCTTGACTTTTTATTCTGCCAGCTCTTTTGTTTGTCACTGCTCATATTACAGAGGAACAGGCTGCAACAATTACATATTATCTGAAAAGCAAATTAGTGAAGTTTCACTTCGGAAACCTTAGATTTTCTGGGAGAGTCTTCTCAAACATGGGGGTTTTTTAGTAGTTTATTTTAGGTCGTTTCTATGAGATTGTACCACTTGTCCTTTGTCTCCATAAATTGCCAATATTCTAATTTGTGGGCAACTTGAGTTTCTCAGTGTGAAACAGTTAAAGCCATACTGCTTTCCATAGTTCAGTTTCCTTCCTTTTTAACATCTAGGCTGCTTTTACTGTCTCAGCAGTGACTTTAGGGCATTTTTAAAAGGTGATTGCAATATCTGAAAGCCTAATTAAAAACAAAGCCTTGAGCACCCAGTTACATGAAAGTCTAAAAAGTGATTTTACCACATAATTTCCATCATTGAATGCAACAGTGGCATAATCATAAATAACTAGTGCTGTAACACTCAGAGCAATAAGGTAGCAAATTTGTACCTCTTTTGATTGGCTGGACAGACCAGTAAAAACATCCATAAAGCTGCCTGTGTTTTTGGGTTTTTTTTACCTAATGAAATAGCTGAGACTTCTGCATCACTGCTGTAGATGCAGCAATGCTAAGATGGTGAAAAATGTTTTGTACTCTCTCCCTCCCTCCCTGGGCAGCCCTGAACAGAAGAGTGTTGGGGCTGTGAGCCCCTTTCTTGGCAAGACTGTGGGAGTGATGCCCTTCTCCTGCTTTAACCATCAGGGGAAATGATACAGCTTTCATGTGGCCTCAGTCTGGAAAAGCTTAATGCCTCTGTGGCAAACATTATTTCACAGTTCTTCAATTTCACGTACAGTTAATTCTGGGAAATGCTGAGCTAATGTCCCTTTACCTACAGTTATCTCAACTTTTAGGGACTGACTCAGATAACCTCCACAAGGTTTATTATCAGTGGGGAATACCTGGAGGGAAGGAAGAGACAAAATGCAAGGGAGGGGGCCTTTAGCTGTGTTATTTCGTTCCAAATTCAGCTTAACCTTCTGAATAAAGTGAGATTTTGCAAGTCAAAGGCTCTTCTCTGGGAACACTCTATTTCCAGCCTAGAAACATTTTTAATCCTGCTTATTTCAAGTGCCCTCACAGCACACAAGGGGAAGAATAGGAACATAACTTGCAGGCAGGAAGGGGAGTTGCAGACAACATACATAAAGGTGTCCCTTGCTGCCCTTGCCCACATCCCTTCTTTCAATACTCCTTTTGCTTCAAGCAGGGCTAATTTTTACACTCCAAGTGGTGTACCAGGATTCAAAAAAAAAAAAAAGAGAAAAAAGGAGACATTTCTAGGCATTAGTTCTCACTAATGTATTAGAGTGACAACAGACATTAATGTTTGGGCTCTTCTTCCATACAAAATTAATCCTGGATTTGAAGCACATGCTTAAAAACTTTATATATACACTAAACATAAGCAACAGTTTGTGAGGCAGATTCTGCAGGAGGATGGTTGTGGAGAGTGGCCAAGCAGGTTGGTGCAGAATCAGTCCCACAGTTTGATTATCAGCTGGATCCCAGCAGCATCAGCTGTACTCCTGCACCTTGTGAGCCTTGCACTGGAAGCCTCCTCACAGCAATTCTGTCACCACTTGGTCCAAGCTCTTTAATCACCTACAGTGATTGAAGTGCAAGCCTTTCTATTTAACAGGAGTACCTCGTGTGGTCACAAAAAACAAAGCCCACAACTCATATTTAAACATCCCTGACACAGGAGGGCAGAGGCTTACTCTGACTGTATAACTGGAGCAGACAGACCACAGGGGATACAAATACAGGCAAGCAACACACACATTTCTAAATCTCCTTTGTGAATAAATGAAGACATAATTTGAGCAATAGGCAGGCTGGTTCACACACCTGTCTGTGCTGTGCTGAGGGCTGGACTCCAGCACATGTGAGAATATGGTAAAGTAAAGCAAAACCCACGGGGGCTGTTAAATAGAGGCAAAGTCCCCAAGGAAGGAGTTTTGCAGTCACTTTTAGCAGCACCTCAGCCAAGACAACTGGGAGGCAAAATGCTAATATGGGCTGGAGGCTGGAGCACTTGATTGACTTGCTGCTATAGTTGGGTCTGTGAACAGATAAGCCTTTACAGGAAGAGCTGGAAGTCACAAAACGCTGCCAGAGCAGCTTGCTTTCTGGGAGCTCTGCAGGGAGTTTTAACTATAAACAGGTTGGATGTTTGGGGCTGAATTTGCATTCAAATATGCCTACAACTCAGGCGTATCAGGACTTCCTTTTCTCTTTGACCTTTTTGTCCTTGCCTCATACAAGTGTCTCTGTCCTCCCTTTCCCCTCCCTTTCCCAGTCCACCTCAGCAAAGGTGACCATTTCCTCCTCTGACCCTCTCCAGCTTTTGCTGCAGCTTGCTCTCTCTTTGCAATGACAGCTTCTGTAAATAATCCTCACCTGAATGAGGGGACCTGTATCGAAAGTCCTCTTTGGTCAGGAGCAGCAGAGCTTTGCCGTTCATCTCGAAGGTGCTGCTCTCAATGGGCCTCAAGGAAAATTCTTTCTCTGCCCACCGGAGCCACTGGGCCACATCTTCCCTGCTCCAGAAAATGGGCTGCAAACCTGGGCAGAAAGAGAGCACAGTTCTGTTACCAAACTGAGACACAGGAACACAGGCAGACATCAGAATTCCCCCTTTCTCCCCACAGCATAACCTACAGAGTCTCAGGGGAAAGGGTAGGCGAGCAATGCCATGTTGGTACAGGATTACTCCAAGCACTGGGCTGCAAAATACTTTGGCACTTTGGTTTATCTGTGACACACTGAGAACCAAGAACTGACTCAGCAGCCTGAAGAAAGCTCACAGGACATTATTTCATTCCAGGTTTCCACTGTGCAAAAGGATTTTCCTCCCTGTGCTCCTTCTGATGTGCAGAGCAAGCAGCAGGAAAAGTCCTTGGTGCCATCCATCTTTGGTGTGCACATCCTCTCTTCCTTCCACAGAAAGCTCTCTCTTCACACCCCTTGTACATTCATGGATCAAGAATAATGAAAAGTTGTCAAATGCAAGACAGCCATGGCTCTTCTCCAGGTGGCTGGGGTGGGTCTGTAAGGAAGGGCAGCTTGAATACAGCCCCTGTAACAGAGTGATTATCAGCATATGTATTGTTGAGAGAGGTGTATTCACACAGTCTCACCCCTTCTCCAGGTGCCATTATGTGAGCAGGTGCCATTCCCACACTGGAGAGGAAAGCCAGGGCCAGGATTGTGCCACCTTTGGCACTGCTTTAGCCTGTGCTTCCTGTACAGCAATCAAATATTACCAATGGAACTAGGTCCATGTAAGAGGGTATACCATTTTTTAGTAAAATAGTAGGGATATTTGGTTTGGGGACAGATTTTCCAAGGTGCCAAGGAGAATCTGGCACTCCCTTTCTGCCAGCCAGCTCATACACTTTATACAGCCTAGGCTATTGTGTTTACTCACAGAGGCCCAACCACATTACTATCAAAGACATTTTGCCTGCTACCTTTATTGGGCCCAGAGAAGCTTGGGAGGTATGACAATTCAGTATCTGTTCTACACACAAATTTAAAATAGCTTCCTTCCCCTGGAGAGAAGGCAGCACTGTGAAGAGCTGTTTATACCCAAGTTGAGAGATTATCTCCAATCCAATGGGCGATAAAAGCTTTATTTTCCTTTCCCCCTCGTGAGATGACTCATTGTTTGACTTGCTACAAAGCTTACCCACTGTGCATAGGAACATAAAATTTGCCATATCTGATCAGATCTCTGGTACACAGCCTCTGGCAGGAGCCAATACCTTATGCTTCAGAGGAAGACAAACCTCCCTTCCTTATATTGCACCTGGCTGATTGTACACTGCACATGGGAAGAAATTTCCTTCCTGGCACACCATCCTCTGAGATCTGATTACCCTCCTCCTACCAAGCACTAAAAGAAGCCTGAGAGAGTTGTACCACTCTTGTTTTGGTTTGGTTTTTACTTCTTTAACAGACAGGCAACCCTTTTATTTCTGTTTTAGCAAGAGGTAACATGAAGTGAATTGCATTCTGCTGCTTTGCCAGATTCCCAGACAACGGCTTTGGAAAGTCCCAGAGCCACAGCTGCATACAGAACTGAATCTCTGTCAGAAGAGGAATTGAGATTGTGCCTGAGAAAGGGTCAGAGCTGACCTAAGGAAGGGATGCCTGCATGGCCGTAGCAAGAATTTCCATTAGCTCTCAACTGTGGCATACTATTGTACTACAGAAACAAGTAGTAGCCTTTAATTATTTGTGAAGCAAATTCTCTTCCCCCCTATGAATTAGGGTCTGCTTATTGAGGTCAGAGTTTTCTGAAGGACCTTTATTTTTGAAGGGACCGGGGTGAGGTGTAGATTTGCTCAGAGACATGGAAACTGTCATCTAAAATGCCAGAGAGAGGCTCATCTTCTGCTGAATTAAGGACTATTGCTGCAGAAAATACACTCCAGACCCCAGGCTGTTGCTGTAGCTAAAAGAGAAAGGTGAGACATGATGCAGGCAGACCACAACATAGGAAAGGCTTTTACAAGACCATCTGAGGAGTGCTTGAAATGCTTGTGTATGATTTCTTTTGCCTCCCTCTCTGCCATGCCATGCAAACAATAAATTGCCCAAAGGAAAACTGTTGTGCAGAAATCTAACTGGCCTCCTGATGTGTACTTCACCTGATGAGGCATTAAACCAAAGAGAACATCACTGTGAAAATCAGGCTGACAAGGACAGAGTTGTACCATAACTTCACCATGAGGTGTGTGCTCCCTTACAGATAACAATGTAATAAATAAATCACTCCCTGTACAAACACAGATCAACACTTCCCACCTGCAGGTGACAGTACATTTTTGCCTTCTGTTCAATTAGTACAAAAGTACTGTGTCCAAAGAGAGCTTTAGATTGATGAGTGCTAGACCCAGAACATCCAAGTAAGTTACACAGCCTGGGACAAACCCCATGAGCTGTGCTGACAGCTCTGAGACAGACCCAACAATTCACACTGCAAATGAGGTCTCTGCTGGGTTTCAGTAGCACCTCTGAAACTTGTGAGAAAAGCCCCAAAGTAATATGACCTAGGACCACTTGGCTTGAAATTACTGAGAAATCAGCAAGCAGCCAGTCTAATTCAGTTTGGCTATGGCTAATCTGAGTGGGTGGATGTGCCACATCACTCCACCCCTGGGGTGATCCCATAATTAAAATACTTACATTGTGTTTGGAAAACATAAGGTGCCATAAAATAAGTAAACTGCTTTTCCCTAGATGGATTTCTTATCCTCTCACTTCCCCCCCCTTCCTGCCCTGCTGCTTTCCTGGGAAGTTAAGTTTCTCAAAAAAACATGCCCCCACCACATGCCCATTTGTTTTGTGAGGCTGAACCAGTTCAGTCACAAGAGGCTTTTCTAGGGGTGCACAGCAGTGCTGCTAAAAAGTGCCTCAGAAACTGTCATTCAAAAAATAATACTTTGATGAGCAGTACAGCATCTACTAAACTCGAATGCCACCTTCTTTGACCCTTCTTAAGAGAAGTAGTTGGTTTTGTGAAAACAAGGTCATGAGATGCTTGACTTTGCAGCTGAAGGGATTTTACAGCACAGTGTACACTGCTATCAGTAGGTAATGAAAATGCTTTCCTGTACTGTCCATGGAAGAAAACCTAATCCCACTTATACTATTTTTCTTCTTTGGATGCTGTTTCTTATTTTCCTCTCTCCATCTTCTTTTATTGTCATGCCCACAGTGGAGGAAAATGGGCTCTTTTTATCTCTCTGGTTTTATTCTCTGCAGAAGCTAACAGCACTGTCTTTAACTAACAAAGCTATTTACCAAGGAGAATAAGTGAGGAAAACAAGAGCTGTGCTGCAAAATGAAGGCAGAGTTTTGCCTGTTGAACTGACTGCTGAAATCAGTGTGAAGTTTTTGCTGCTTTCACTAGGTGCAGATCAGATGTGGGGGATGCTGCTTTTCTGCCAGCCTGCCCTGTTGGTGACCATGGACTTCCCAGGGTGAATTTTGACCGAAGAGTCAGACCTGGCTCTGCTCCCATCTCTGCCTTTGCACCTCTGGTTGAAATCTGGCAAGCAGTCCCCATCATGGTTTCCCTATCTGTGTCGTGCAAAACTAAACAACAACAAAAACTTCCTGAACTCAACAGCTGAAAGCAGGTTAGACAAAGCCGTGCAAACCATCAAAATCTGGCTCTTTGAGATCCAGCACATTCTCTGTCTTCTGTAAGTTTCCAAGCACCACCTCCAGCAGAGTAAAACACTGACATGTTTAAAAACTGACAGCTTTAGATGCATTAAACAGGGAGCAAAATCCATGCTCACCTTTCAAACGCTGCAGGCTGATGCACTGGTGTCTTAATAGATTATCTACTCCTGCAGCATAGTCCTCACCTGAAGTCCTGGTTCTCACACCTGCTACTCTGGTGACCTCATAAATGATGAGGATGATCAATTCTCACACTGCAGGGCACAAGCTGGTAACCAGCCTGAGTGCAGGAGAAATCCACTCTTTCCTCCTTTCCATTCTCAAGCAGCAAAGCAAAGTACAACGGAGAGGGACTGATGGGGTAATTTACTTTTTGAAGTAGCCAGTAAACCTGTTAAGCACCAACAGGAATGTACTGGTCTGTTGGACAGTTTAGGCTGATGGTCTCTGAAGAGTTCACTTCTGACAGAGAGCCCCTTAGGAAACTGAGGCATGGTCAGGCTTTGAGGGCAGAAAAACAGAGTGCTCTGCTCAGGCAATATAACCTTTGCACTTAGAACTACATAGCCAGCAATATCTTCACCTGACCACAGACTTCTGGTGGGGTTACAACTTTGTTTTTTAAAGAGATGTAGCCAACTTAAAATCATGCAAAGCACTTGTACTCAGCGACCCCTTCTTTGGTTTGGAAGACAGAGTATGCATTTTACAGTATGAGTTGCTGTGTTCAGTGAATGCAACAGATAACACCTAAAATGTGAAGTATAATGTACCACAGGCTGTTTTCACCTTGACTCATTTTGGAACAATCTGAGGACACAAATCCAATGCAGACTGTGATGCACTGTAGCACCAAGAGCTGCTGCTCTGCTTTAGTTTCGAGATGAGGACACAGGCACAGGACAGCACACACATGGAAAACAGCACTCACAGCAAGTTCTGTCTCACTTTTTGTTCCACTTCAGCTATGCTCTCCATCCTCCCCCTGGCAGGCAGGATGTTGGTGTGAGAAGGGGCTAAAGACAGAGCTCTCATTTATCCCTGCTTTCTGCAGGGCAGACGGAATTGTTCACACTCCCACGCCAAAAACTACTAAGCATGGTTGGGCAAACAGCAAAGGGCCAGTGCATGCAAATCAGCAGCTGGTTTCCAAACACCCAGGGACAGATGCATCACCACTGGCAGCATCAGGGAAGCCAGCTCAAGTCTGTAGCTACTGTGAGCCTTTAGTGGGAAAATGATGCTGGAGAAGTTCAGAACAGTTGAATGTCTCCTATCAAGTAACTCTTTATGAACTGATGCTCTCTTTTTTTTGTTATTGATTAACAAAATTTTTCCTTGTTAGCTGCAAAGCATAGTATGTGCCT